AGTCCAACTAGCAATAAGAAGGTGTTACACTGAAATGGTGGTGAAGAAAGCTGAACGTGATACATGTTTTTAATTCTAAATATTTTGAGGAGGAGGAAGGGCATGGATCAGGAGGCTTCCCTGACAAGTGTTAGAAAATATTTAGAAATAATTTGGGTGTTTTCAATGCAAAAAATTTCATCTCTTTGCTTTTAAAAATACATGAAAGAGATCTGGAAAACAGGACTTTTCCGTCCATTACGCTCTCTGCCACTCATATTTCATACCTTTGTACTGATGATTCAGTCCTTCTCCAACCCATTTCTCTATCAAAGCAGTGTTTTCAAAGTGTAACAAGAAGAAACTTCATGATCCTTAAAGCCCACATATCTCAAAGAATACCAAAGTTCACTACATTATTAAGATCAATATATTCCACGTGTAGATAAGAGCTGAACTATTGTTCCTGTAACAATTCAGCATATAACCTGAAAAAGATCACTTTGCTTTATTCCATTTTTTAAATTATGATTCCCTGAATGAAAAAAAGCACTGTAAAATGTATAATTTTCTGGGGTTTTTTATGCTGAAAATGTTTTATATTAGGTGAGATGTGCTCAGTCTTGGCTATAGCAGCGTTTTACTAACATCTGAAATACCTAGGTACAGGATGTGTAATTTCATTAGTAAAAAGTCAACACTTTTCCAATTCAGTATTTCTAATTCTTCTTGAGTTGTTTGCTTGTTTTTTGGTATAATATGGAGATGATATATTTATTAGGTTTTTTTAAGAGCTGTGTTCAAAATTAAATGGGATGTGCTTTAGAGAATATTTTTGTTTGTGAGGAAAAGATATCAAAGACTAGAAAATATTATCACTCATTTAAGGAGCCATCCTCACAGTGCCTAGCTGTGTTTTACAACACAATCAAATATCACACTGTAATTTCTAAAATAATCTTTCTTCAATGAAATTGAAGGAATTAACAAAGGCAGGTATTAGACACTTGATTTACAAATTAAATATGGATGCCCAGAGAAACATAAACTTCCTGTCCAAAAAAAAAAAAATAGCATGATTTACCTTTCCTGGATAACTTTTAATGACCTTCTCTGCCTTTTCTGGAGCAGTTGTGATGAACTTCAGCCTTGTATCTGATGTGATGACTCTTGGGAGGCTTATTAATGCTAGAGAACGTATTTTCTGCTTCATAGAGAGATGATGGATTTCTAAGACATGGAGAAATTTTCAGGACCGCAGAAACACTTCTATGAAGACATTCAGAAAGTCTCATGTACAATGCTCAGTGTATTGAGAGGTGCTATGCCTAAATGTTCAGCCAACACATTTGATCACGCCCATGACATTATTTGGAGCAGCTTGGAAGTTTTCAAAACACACCACATTCATTTTCAGAAAAAATGAACGCCGGAGGTAAATCTGACCATACTTCTTAAACCAGATTATTTAAAATTCAACACGGTGTTCTTATTTTATTAAAACCAGAGATGGCAAAATATACAAATATATTCATTCAGAGAACAGAATAAAGAAATAAGATTTTAAAAAATTACCTCTCTAAATTTCTCAAGCTTTTTTCTTACACAGGAGAGAATGGGATGAGTGAGTATAACTGTTCCCATTCATTAGGCGAGAATGCACTCATTTGCTCAGAGTCACAAAGTGGGAAGAGCTGCTTGTGCTTTACACGCCGCTTGTGCTCAAGCCACCATACGCTTCCTTCCATCAGGGAACTCTCCTTTTCCCTTACTCCTCACTTTACCATCCAGAAACTCTTCTCCCTTCTCCCTTTGACATTGCTTTCAACCTTTTTGTACTGAATAATATTAATAAAAGGTGGACGGAGAAGGAGGAAGAGTTTATATTTACTTACAGCCTAAGTTTAGAAACCAAATTTTTAACACCTAAGTCAAGGGACCCCTCTTCCAAGCTCCCCATAAAGCCAGAGGACAGAGAGAAAGGTGCAGCCCAAAGTCAGTTCAGAGCACGGTGCTAACTGAAGCACTCCAGCTGCTCTTCTCGTAACACTCATCCGCCTCTGAAAGCGAACATGCCTCTCATCACAGGCTAATGCTGGGTGTGGTGTGAATAGGACCTATGTTACATATTTATAAATAATTTCTTTCCTAGCCTGCTTCTTCAAGCATCTAACTTTTTTTTTTTTTCCATTTTCTCGTATGAAATCAGAATATTTTGTCTAATTACTTTTTCTAATAAAGAAGTTTTAACTGGGAAATTTAAAAGACCATTGTAAGCTACAGATTTTCTTCCAGGAAGACCAAGCCAACATATTATAGAATTAGTAAGTAGAATTTGGACCCAGAGCCAACAAGAACTGTACTGTTTGTTGATTTACCTTTTGATTTCTATTTAAATTGAAATTATTCTTACAAAAGGGAGAGAGAGCTACAGTGCATAGGCTAGGTAAACACGTTCAACAGGCCTGAAAAATGAGAAGAGCATAAATAGAACAACTTCTATACATCTGTACTGTAATATAAAACTATAACAACTTCAAAGACCTTCCTCAGTGACATGCAGTACAAGTAGTATCAAGAGGATCTAGCACTGCATAGCTGCTTAACAATCGCAGTCTTGCTAGCGTGTGGTCCTGCTTTTGAATCCTGGTGGTCTTGGCTTATGATCTATTTTGAACTACCTGTGGTTGGAGTAGTATGTTTGTCATTCAAGGGACCTGTGAGATCTACATAAAAAACCCCATGAAAAACGCAGGATTATATTTCATGTATTTACAGGTTTCTAATTTCAGTTAGTGAAGGTAGACCAGAAAATATTCTCTGAAAAACTCTCAGTTGATCTGAAAGTTTCGTGCGAATGTTTTGCAGGCTGTGATTTTGAAACGTAGTAAGTTTTTGAATGCAGATACAGTGGTACCTCTGTCACCCACAAAAAAGGAAACACTTCAGAAACTTTTTTCTTGAAGACTGGTGATCTAAAACTGTACAGAATACAAATCTGAAGTCCCTGTAGGGTAAATGAAAGTGTGGAGCTAATATTTTGCTGATAAAACCAGAAAAATTTGGTCAATACTATTTGACTTGAAAAGCAACCACGAATCAATTTTCACTAACCACTAACAATGACATTAATACTTTGAAATACAAGTACTTTCAATAGGAAAATTATTCCATATAACTATGGAGTTGCAACTATAGCCGCCTCATTTGCACATTGCAATGGATTAGCTGGTGTGTCTCAAGATTGTATTATTACCCTCTGCTGGATAGGATGAAGGTAAGGCCTGCTTGAGCATGCCGTAAGCATTAAACGTGGCTGGTGTGCCTATCAGAGCTTCAATCAGAGACACACAGAGGGAAGCCGGACTTCAAAATTTCTATACCTGTTCTTCTAAATTCTCATTTCAAGGATTAATCACAAAAAAGGCTCGTGGTTTTAAATAACTGGATGTCTGTTCCCTGTTCATAATTTCAGTTTTAAATCACAGGTATAATCCATCCATCAGTGTAGTAATAATCACTTCAGGACTTTTTGCACAGAGAGTTTGCAGATCTGATCCTCACTGGTGTACAGGCCCTCAGTTTTCAGTAGATCCAACTGCTAGTAAACAACTTAATATTTGGGGATGGGGGGATTTTCACATATTTCCAATTAGCTGTTTTGTAGAAAATATTCAGTGGTGTAATAATGACAGATCCATTCCTCCAAGTACTCCATATTTCATAGGCCCTATTGAATATAAAGCCAAGAATCCAGCAGGGCCATGGGGGAAAGAGGCAGACACTTTCCTGTAGACTTTTATCCAGGATCATTGTGAAAGGTCTTGAGCCATGAAGTTCTAGTTACTTCCCTGGAACTTCTTCCCCACAGCTGATGCAGAAGTTTTTTCCTGATATTCATTCTGAATATAATTTTATATATGATTTGCTATAAGAGAAGCCACTCAGACAGGAAGGTCTTTTCAGTGGTGACCTTGAAATAAAATCCCACATTGATTTGCACAATGGGAAGAGTTTTCTGAGTGACAGAACAGAAGGATAGCATGCTTTTCTGAACAAAAATTCCGAATCCCTAAAACTGCTTTCCAACAAGTTCCCAGGCTATACCAAGCTATACAACATATAAATCCAACAATATTTTTTTTCATTATCTCAATTATTAGTCTCAGAATTGCTAAATACTTTACCTGGGTAGTGTTCAAAATGCGGAACAGATAGCTGAAAACAAGACTTGTTTCTTCGTGACTTAATAACATGAGGTAGCCTATTGTCCAGGTGATTCCGAGCACTACCACTATAGAGATAGTGCCAATCATCTTTTTCATAAATGAATCCTTTTTATTCCTAGAAACACACTCAAAAAAGTTATTAAATCTTTCTCTGCACCATTTAATATCTTTTTGAGCTTTAAATGTTCTATTTATTAGGGCTATATTGCAAAGATGTGTTATTCAGGTGAGTTGAGAACATACACCTCCCTACATATGTTTGACATATCATCCAGAGAAGAAATCTGGATAACCAAGTTTATCAGAATAATCTGTGTTTGGAGTATGTAACTTGGATGTATCTTTCTTTAACAAAAAGTGAGGTTTACCAAGGCAAAAAGAAGCATCGAAAATTAGTGTTAGCTATTATAAGATTTTTTAGAATGCTTATAATTTCAATCCAAATGTGCTTAATTTTCAATATAAGAATAAGGTGCCAGTGAAGTTTGGATATCCAACATCTCTCAAGCCTGAGGGGAGTCAGAGATAAGGTACTTTGTTTGCTCCAACCATGGAAAGTGTACATAAAAGGAATGAAGAAATGGTACAAAGTTTTGTTGAACAGATCAGTTCTGTGGGATTAATAAAAATTAAAGCAATCTCCTTTTAAATAATACAATGTACACTGCAGAGTTTGTGACACACAGCCTCTAACAATACATGGAGTGTTGATGTAAAACTGAGCAAGCAAATCTGCTTCAAAGCTGTTAGAGAACTGGCCTGATGTTCAGATGTACTGAGAAATTAATAATTCTCATTTGGCTGGTCTCGGCTCTGCTCTCACATGAATTTAAATCACTGAAGTCAAGTTGAGTGACACTGCAACCAAAAAAAGGGGGGCAAAGGCCTGAAATGTGTTCATTGATATGCACTTGAACAAAATAGGAGGCATTGCAACAATGAAATTAATTTTCTGACTGTTTTAAGCATATATTTCTTTAAAAGAAAAGGTTTTGTCAAAAATCAGACAAGAGGGTCTGAGCTGGTGATAAGAGACTGAGGCATACATTTACTGAAAGATCTGAGGAGTCCTATGCCATCTCACCTAATCAAATTCTCGTTCTTCTTCCATATCACAGAGACACCGATCTTGATGAAGACGATGATATTAAACAGGACTATGAGTGCTGACAAGAGGAATGACCACAACATGGACATTTGCACACTGATATTCTGATTTTGATCCAGTGCTGCAGGCCAGCAACTTTTAAAGAGAGGCCATTTCAAAAGATTTGTTAGACACATTATTCATAATACCAAACCAAAACAAAATAATAGTCCACTTTTCATCCTGCAAGACCTCCTAGGGCTTTCTAGGTCTTGTTAACATATCTCTGAAAAGCAACCATTCCTTGAGAACTGAGGGCTTTTTCAATCATGCTTCTCTTTCTCTGGGGAATGCAAAATGATTTGTCGAACGAACCACATTAAGAGAAATATAATAAGGAGCAATATAGCTAACCAAGTAGATATCTGGCCACCAGATGCAAGTTTATCATTACAGTGTATATTATATTAGAGCTAAAGAGTAATAGGGGAGACCTAATGGACAAAGTTTGAAAGAAAAACAGGGGCAACTTCAGGAGGACAAGGTTATCCTGCAATAATCTTTCGCCCTTTTTTTTCTTTGCCAAATAATCTCAACTTAGAAGTCAACACTCCCAAAATGAGTAACATTAAGATGGCCACCATGTGGAAGGAGGTTTTTGTTTACATTTCCAAAAGAAGTCTACCTTTGCTCTGTATCATCCACTATCACCCAGGTACATTGTAAGCCTAATAGCCTGCTTTGGTATGTGGGCACTCACATGAATACCGATACCAAAACCATAGGCTAAATAGGGAGATAGTTATTTTGGCCAGAAAGATTTTAAATAGATGGGAGGATTAAGTTTAGGTACTGAAATGCAGTTATGCACTTAAATGAAGGTCTGGAATTTCAGTTAGTTTAACAGTGTCTACAGCTTCCATTTAAAGTCACAGGGGATCTTGCAGAAGGATTCAAGGCAGATGTGGATCCAGTACCCTAAATCCTTAGTGAGGAGAAATTGCAATTCCTTATAGTGAGTGTTTAGCTTGAGTGAACAGTTTTTTTCTTTTAAGTACTTAGATATACAAAACAGTATATCAACAATAAAACTAGAATTGTATTAATAGTAAGCCATCACGAAAGGTGTGGGATAACAAATACTGTAATAATGCGTGAGCTTGACAATTCTTCCCGTCGGTAGTTCAAAGCTTTTCCTTCTCTGTAAGTAGCTCCAAGGGTTATTGCAACTACTACAGTGGGGATTCCTAAGTAATAGGAGAGATATTAGCAATTTATTGTTGGGTTGCAGAAGTGAACCTCCCTTCCACACAAATGGCTTCTTGCCTCCTAAAATCCGTGGATTTTAAGAGCTGTGTTTCATCTGCCTTGCACTAAGCTAAGTGGGTTTTCTATAGCTTAGAGAAAAGGCAGGACTGAGGATTGTGAGCACTATTTTTCTGAGGACAGCTCGTCTCCATGACTTGCTGATTTTTTGCTGTTAAAGGGCTTCAGCACAGCTTCCAGAGACGCCAATGGTGGCAGAAACTCCTTCCTGTGCTGTAGCTGACTCCCTCATCACAGCTGTGCAATCCTACCCTCTTGTCAGCAGTGCAAAACTAATTTAAGAAAATTCTGACCAAGCACCATTACATTTCATACCAGCCTGACGCAGAGCGTAACTTTTGCCCTCCGAGAAGCATGGCAGGGTGGGCTTGCTTCCTCCATGCCTTTGCTTCACTTCTGTCTTCCATGTCTCGGGCCCACCTGTTCGCTAGGCAGCACAGCTCATGGGAAGGGGCCTCCCGCACAAGTTCTTATCCGAGAAATAAACATCCTCCTGACAGTCTGTTCCTCCTTCTGCGCTAATAGCGATCTTCCAGACTGCCAAGTATTTGCTGTGCTCTCAAAGTAGATCTGAAAATCAGTGAGTCAGAATTGTGCTATTTTGGACATGTGTAACCAGTCACAGGACACAGAGGAGAACCTAATGCTATGCTATCATGCAAATATACATGGAGCACAGAGACGCGTAGCCAGACAGCTTTTGCTGAATGTTTTCTGGCTTGCACATGCAGTCCAAATTCTAAAAGTTTTAGAGGAATTGCCTCTACCTCCACCCGAATGCAAAACATAATAATGAAACAATCAGGATCTAAAACTGCTTGGTAGATGCCATCAGAAACAACACACCATACAAGCTGAATGCACGATGTGGAAAAGGCAGGTATTCCTGTACACTGTATTAGAAGAATTTCTTGAAGGAGACTGAGATTTTTACTTTACCTAATGGGCATCTGTCTGCATTCTTCAGTCCTCCAAGTAGTTCCCTTTCAGCTTGCAGTGTTGCTGCTAACAGCTGTACTGACTTAAGAATGTGCTCTTTGCCTATTAATAAATAATATGGAATAAATAATGTTAGTCACTCCTTGCTTTTGGATGTATGCAAGGCTCTGGCTGAGGTCAGGAGGAATCTCAGAAGAATTTGAGTCCGTATGTGCAATCACCATATCAGAAAGATTTTTTACTCAGTTGACAGAAAGAGATTATTGAATGCCTTGATTACTGTGAAAATTTCTCCTGCACACGACAGACCTATGTTGCTGTGCCAGTGAACGAGCTCTCCGTTTCAGTGCCATGTCAGGACAATGAAAACAAGCTCAGTTTATACCAGTAGTGTGAGCAGTAACAGGAGATTATTTATTAAATCACATTGCACTAAACCAGAGAGACACTGGTTATAATTGCGCTCTACTGATCTCCTATCTTTACAACTCTCCCTGACTGTACTATGTACTGATACTTTGGTAAGAGTTTCCATATATATGACTTTAAATCTTACCCCATCCAATTACTGATGTAATTACGAGGAAGTGTCCAGGCAGGGGCTTCGTGGCTCTAAGCAGCGGTAAGTACAACTGGGCAGAATTGAGAGCAGTCGACATAAATGTTGCCAACACAAAATAGTGCTGCAGGACAGCCGTGGCTGTACACCAGGAGTCTACGGGAGGATCTACCATGTCAGATGTGAGCAAGGTGTTACTGGCAGTATCGCAAAGCAACTATTGCTAGTAGTAGCTGGTGGTATCGCTGCTGTCATTCCTGGCATTTTGGTTTTCAATTCCAGAGATGAAGATGATGTTAAAAAGGAGCATAGAGAAACAGAGACTCACTAACATCCATGTTAGACGACTTTCAAGTTTTCCTATGGGTAGCAATACATTGAGGAGAATAAAGTAGAGCAAAATAAGAAAAATTGTAAAATATTTCCTCATTTCCATTGACATTAAAAGAAGACTAGAGTGTGCAGTCATTAATACAGAGAGAAAACAAAGCAATAACTTGTTTGCTGAATTCTACACCATCATCACTCTCAGACAACTTACCAAATCCATCAGTTTTTGTTTGATTTCAACTAGAACAGAGAACCCTCGGCACCTTTTAGGACTGGGCCTTTTCTAACAGCAGTTGGGATTAATTTTCTTTTTTCCACTCTGCTCTTTTTAGAATCATTTCCTTCAGTGTTAAGAGGTGAAATAACATAAGACAAGTATTTCTAAACACTCTTCAAAGTACAAAAGAATAATAAACCTCCACTTCCAAACGCTGTTTTATAGATGCATTTCAAAGGCAGGATCTGGAAGCTCCTACAATCTTAAATACATTGACCTTGATGGAATTGCTCCACATCTATGTTAGAGTAAGCAGGATGAGAAACATGCATTCATCTACGATAACTACAATTCTGTTGGCATGACTTTGCTCCTTGTTCAAGGGGGAATCACATGACACCATTGATCACGGACACGTCCATCAAGGAAGTTTGCTGCAATTATATTTGAATTAAGGCATGCACAATAAAACTGTAGCACGAGCAGTATACATAACCTACACTGCTGTATAATCACAGTGCTTTGAAATCATCTGTTCTCTACAGACATTTTATAAACAGAAGGCAATAGAGTATAGAAACTATCCAATAGGCAACAGAAAGCAGAATAACATTTAAACAGGATAGCAAGAAGAGAACCTGAGGAACAACATGTAAGTCTAAGTGATAAGGCAGTGGGCTGAAATGACTAGCCTTAAATGAAGACACCAACATAACAGGCGCATTCATAACTGGCTAGAAGAAAGATAACTGATTAGACATTGTAATACCAGGGTACAGGGCATACAGGAAAATAAAAAGGAGGTCATGCTGGTGGTGGAATACTGTTATGCATTTTTAAAGCCTAGCATTAAGTGAGAGTAATGAACTAAACACCTCAACATGTAGCAGGGACCAGTGTAGCAGTAACACAGCGCTGGGTGTATGTTGTCAGTTGCCTGGCGAGGGTAGTAACAGAGACGTCAGCGAGGCAGTCGGGGACATGAAAGGCAACAGAAATGGCTGACCGTCCTTACCCCATGTGGATGGGACAAATGTCACTCTGGGACATTACCCAGATATTAGACATGGTGATGCGAGCCCATGGTAAAAGGATCAGCCCTTGACTTGGTCCTCAGTAGCACATGCTGCCTGCTTTGTTATCTTAGAGCTGGTGAGGTGCCCTGTCAAAGCGATGGAAAAGCGGCCATGCCCAGCGTTTCCTGTGAAAGGCTTGGCCTTTTACCATACTGAGCTCTTCCATACTGTATCATTTCTTTTCAAAGCTCACATTTTTGAAGGTGGATTTATTGAATAATAATCATATATGTATCTCCTTACATTAAAGATTAACATTAACAGAAAAGTTAAAGTTTCATCTAGGTGAGTGGCATGGCTGAGACATCTCGTGTCTTCACTTTAACCAGTAAGCCACGCTTACTTCCCAGGCTATGCTATGTGATTATCTCAGCTTTTTGAATATTATTTGCTGATCAATAATATTGCAATATGGTCTAAACCAGCTACTCTCTTTGTTTTCCTCAAACTATGTACAGAGCAAAACATTGCAACTTAGCATGAAATACTTGCAGTTTTACATCTTCACTCTTACCTAGTGAATATTTGAAACAAAATGGTAATGACCAGACCAGCCATGGACAATCCAATGCCAATGTAAGAAATATACTCCAAAGGCTTCGCATATTTATATTTGATCTGAAAGGCCTAGAAAACAAATTGTATCAGTTATAAGTTGAGAAGAAATAAATTTCTTTCTAAAATTTGTGTTAAAAATTGCACATAGAAGCAAAAATGTTTTGGTAAAGTTAAGACTGTTGCTAGCCACTGCCAAAATTTTCAGATCACACAAAATTATTCTGGACCTCAAAACTAGAGAAGCTTGTGAAGAACTCCAGAAAGAGACTTAACAATGTCAATGAAATATTTAGCAAAATAGCAGATTAAATTATTCATAGAAAAATGCAAGGTGACACAGACTGGAAAAAGTAGCTTTAACTTTTCGTACTGATGTGCATTCTGAATTTTGGCTTCTGAGGATAAGATCTAAGGTAAGATGTTACGAAGAATTACAAATCAAACCCAGTCTTTGTTTGTATAGTGACAATAAAGCAGCAAGTAAATGTAAATGTATTCAGTGAAACAGAAAATACTGTTGTCTTTGCATAAACGGATGGGAGTCTTCTCTAGAATATAGTCATTTCATGCAATAAAGACATGCATAAGATAAAAGGAAATACAGAAACAAGTAAATATTACAAATACAGAAATGCTCTTCTGTGAAGACAGAGTGAAAAGAAACTCTGGAATCCTGGCACTGCTGAAGTCAGTGACTACAGATCCATGATTTTATCCAGGGAGTGTTTTGTTTAGAGAAGATGAAACAAATACTGAAAGAATAATAAATGTCAGAGACAGACAGTCATTCCTAAACAGTCTTGTTAGTACAAGAGGGCAATATATAAAACTTCATGGCAACAGGCTTAGTATTTACAGAGCAATTTCTTTTTATGAACATATAAGCAAAGGAAGTAGTTAATGCTGAGTACTTTGAGTTATTTACCGGGCACAAGGCAGTGCCACAGCTAGCCCAGATCCCAGGCTACTCTACTGTTCATCTTGGGGCACTTTAGGCTTTAAACATGACACTCATGTAACAACCAGCCGCAGCAATGGAGGTGCAGAGCCGGAGGCTGCCACAGCTGAGCAAGGGGAATGAATCACGCCAGCCCTTCCCTGCTGCTGGGGTGCACAGGCAGGTGGGTGCACCCACAATTTCTGGCAGAGGAAGCCACTATTTGCCAATATGTTTGGCTTTCCAGCAGCCTGGGGACAACTTACACGTCCCAATTTGCCAGCTCTGTCGCAGGTCATAAAAAAGTACCTCGGGACATCTTAAACTCCTGTGCCTTCAAGCTTAGCATGCTTACGCCCTTACATTGGCATGCTGGTCTTACAACTGAAAACGACCAAACAAATGAAAAAAACCTCCAAGCTCTTCCCATTCAAGAAAGGACAAGGCCCTGTCATCAGGACAGCAAAATTAGTAGTGTGGTTACACCTGCATCTGAAGAACTGGTCTCTTCCTTTTGCACAGCCAGCGGTGCTCCAGTCATTGGCAGCATAGTCCCAAAAGACACAGGCATGATCACGCAGCTGCAGTTTGGATGCGTTGTACTATGGATTGGGATTGCAAGGAGAAAAACTGGCTACAGAAACATAAACAGATATGCAACAGCGAACGGCGTGTACTGACAATTATCATCTGAAAGGGGAGCTGACAGGTACTAAGGGATTTACGGGATTTCCCGTAAACCCTATGAACAATATCAATAACAGCATGAGTTGGCATTTTGAACTTACTTTGTGTGCCTTTCTCAGTCAAGATTGCCAATAAAATTACCCATTTCTGTGAATTATTCAGGTAATTACAGTTCAGATGCACATTGACTCGGCATTAAACAACTGCCAAATGAATTCTGCGTAAGCCAAACAACAGCTTTCAGATATTAGTAGCATGAAATTACTGCCAACCGGAGCTGACTCCATACAGTAAGAGGAAGCAAACAACGATAAATGCCATGACCCATCCCCTCCCCTCCTGCAGCACGGCGATGCTCGTGCAGTCATACATCAAACTGCATGCAATCATATGTCAAACTGCATGCAGTCATTTTCCGACAACATACTTTTGTAGGGCACTACAATTAGAACTGCTTTTTACCAAGCAATGAGCAGCTTGAAGTGCAAATAAGTAGTGAAAGCAACTATTCACAGTACTAGGTACTTCAACTAAACACGAGGAAATAAAAGTAGGAGTAAAAAACTCAATTACAAGTTTGTTTCAGTGATTTCCTTAGAAATGACAGTGTTTCCCAGATCACTTAACTGTATGGATCCATGATGATGATTACTGATCTATGATATGCATGTATTTGAGCTTAAAACCTTCGTTAAATATTGTAAGAAGCAGCCACCTACTGTTTTCTGGAGAAACCATGCTAAGCATCATCCTAGAACTGCTAATCTGGAAGAAGAGCCTGGCCCCATCATTCTCCACACCTTGCCGTGAGGTAGCTGTAGACAGTAGCAGGACCTCCCCTTTGTCTTGAGGTCATTGAGCTTCTGAGTCTATAAACTTCTGTACACCTTTCACTATTCCTTAAATAACCAGAACAGGATTTTTTGAAAAGCCATCAGAGGAACTTGAGAAATGTCATCTGGAATAATTGTGCTTCTCAACACAGTGTTCATAATGTGCACCGAGAACATTATCCTCACTTCAGTACATTGTATATAGTGTCAGCTTGGAATAAACATAGAAAAAACAAAGAAAATATTCTGGTGCTGGAGATGCTAATAAGAATTGCTAGAAGCACTGGTTGGGTCCACTGTGAGTCAGTTAGCACTTAATGGACACAGCATAAATGTCTATAGTATCTTAAGAGTCTAAACACAAATAAAGATGAGGCATTAGCTGTATGTTATATGAAGGTATAGCTAGGTAACAATAAGACTTAAAGAGATGGAAAAATCTGCTGATCATCTTGTCAATGTCCTTTGTAGGCTATGGAGACCAACTAAACAGTGTATCAAGTCATCCCTTTTCTAATCCAGTCAATGAATAGCTTCAATAACTGAATTGTTCTCAAATTGTTTATGTTGGGAAGCTATCAAAATCAGGATTAATCAATCATGCAGCTTTGAAGTGTTTATAAAGCTTGGAATGGTAGGAAGGAAACGTGAATGTGTTGCATAGGGAGGAATGAAATTTGCATTTAAAATTACTGGAGATGATATTTGACTTGAAAACATCTGCATGTGCAGCACCTTGAACAAACACGACATCGTAAACACCTATTTTCACTATTCTTACTTCTGACTTTTAGCATGACCTTAGATTCAGAGTAAATATTTGTATTTAAAAGGAATAAAATCCTTTTAAACCTGACCTCTGGATCACGAGCATGAACCCCTTCTCCTCCCATTTCCTAGCCTTCAGCTCCGCAGCCCGAGGTGCCCCAGGCTCAGCAGATGGCAGCACGACATCGCCGCTCCCCAAGTGCTGGTGGCAGCAGAATAACCTTCTGTGGCAGCCTTATGTTGTAGCTTCTTAGCATTAGAAATAGCTACTGCTAATATTATACATTTAGAGAAGATTTGACATTTGAACCATTTAGTGAAGGCTATGTACTGGGAAAACATAACATTGAGCTCAAGGGTTTCCCATCAAAGGATCCAGGCAGGTGAAGCATTGGGTTGAAGGTACAATAGTCAAGCAAAAATGCATGATGAAAGGGACTTCTCTTATTTAAAGGGATTGTAGCTGGTTTCTTTTTTTTTTCTTTTTTTTTCAATTTGGACTAGCGATAAGGAAATGAAATGCAGAAGGAGAAGATGAGATGCAGTCACTGCCTGTAATGTGCCTAGTCATGTTCAGCTCTGCATGTTTTGTAGCTATTGCAGAGCTAAGCCTTAAAGCAAGGCTTAGGGGCTTATGGATTTTATCAGGAAGAGTTTGTCATTCATACAAGAGAGTTTGAATTTGAATTCTTGAGGGACAGCAGTGTTTCATCTGTGCTCAGCTGATCAGAGGACTGAATGGAAAGGCTTCGCTCTTAATCTTTCCTAATGTGTCGGTGTCAGCATCACTTCATTCCCTCATGCCAGTCTTCTCCAAATCCTTTCCACTTTCTGGACAGTTTGGTATCCTGGGTTGGCATCGCCTCCATTCAGAGGTGTTTGCTGTGAACTGGGAACCTGACTGAGGAAATTGCAGGCCAATCAAGAAATATGAAATGGAATGGTGTGTTCAGGCAAAACCAAGCAAAATAAAACAATTACAGTTGGAAATTCAGGCCCTTTGCAAAGCAGGCACATGCCAAGAACTCCACTGAAAAAGGCTTTGGTCGTTCATTTTGCTTTCTGCAAGGTTTTAAATGTAACACACATATATATTTATTTCCTCCCTCAATTTCTTATCATATTATTTTTTCTTGGGGTGATGCAGAATCTCAGGCACTGTTTAAATAGCAATTTAAGATTACTTGTGATGCTAGGGAGTCCAGATTTTCATTACAATTCAGAATTTTGGGGGGCTCTAAAGTAGGAGTTCTCCCTTCTCTGGAGAACGTCCAGCTTGCTATTGAAGTGTTACCTGTAATTTTGTAAAAGCAGAAAGATAAGCATTTAGTACAGAAGCACTCACTCACATGCACGTGACCTCATTGGGAATTAACTCTTCTGTGGGTGTGACACCCTGTCCAGTGTTATTTTCTGCTTGCGTGTAAAATATTTGTCTTTCAGTTTTACAAGTGACCATCTATTATTTAACTAGTTATTGTTCTTTTTAGACCATGCGTTTTATATATACAATCTTGTCAGAGCGGCTGACATTATTCATGCGAAATTCAGATAGGTTTTGTTATGCTAGAGCTGCAGAAACACAAACGGGAGGCACAGGCATAAGCGCTGAGCTATTAGAAAGACTTTTTATCATGTCCTGAGAAACATAGTTTATATGTCATGAAAGAAATGCAAAGGGCACGTGAAGCAGCCATGCAACACTTACTACTCTACAAGGTTGCTGAAAGCTGAGGCAGTTCGTGGAACCACAGTTGATGGAAAGTGTCCTGAATCCTAATGCTAAATAGTAGGATATAAATAGATTATTTTTCTATCAAAAGGCTGTTCAGGAGCAGATATTAACTGACTCTCAGCCCAGTCTCAAACAGGCAGGGATACAACTTGGCATGCATACTTTAAATTCTCTGCATTTGGGGTAGAAAGCTGTGTGGAAAGGCTTGTGCTCCTGCTGGAGCTGTGCTGTTCTGGCTTCCAACACTGACCTGTCATCTGGTCTGATAATCCAGCACCTTTCACAAACCTTACATTTACTTTTGGGAAGTAGAAGTTGAAAGGAAAGAAACACATACCATCCACAGAATTGGGTTCACATTTTTCTTTGGAGTTGCGATATTTACCCACTATAATCTGTTCAAAAGTAAGGCGTTTTGTAGTGCTTTCAGAAATGTTCACCATGCAAGTACTGGCTTCACAGAAATTAACTGCGCAAAAGCTAGGAAAAAAACATATATCCAGATCAAATATTTTTAGTACAAGGATCAATTTTCAAAAATAAAATAGTATTGAGACAATAGAAGCTCATTGAATCTTTCGCCCTAAAGGAAATAAAAGCAGTTGGGTAAATCTTGTCTACACCCAAGCTGTTGAGCTGCTGCAAGTGATATTTATGAAGTCACTGAAGCCCTAAAACCCCATACTTTTTGCCATCTCTCCTATTTTCACTGCCTTGGTCCTAGAAAATTTGTAAAAGGTTATAAAGCTTCACTTCCAGAATCTTGTTACCCAGGCAGAAATCAGATTTGGTAACCTAATGCCACAGAATACAGCAGGGGACAAAAATACACATCTGCTCCAAATGGGGTTTGGACAATTAATGGGGGATGGTCTTTTGGTGACTGAACCATGATGGGTCAGATGCAGCCTCTGGCGCAGGAAACCTGCGCTGCCTGCTGGAATGGGACAGGGTGGCCACCCCAAACCCATGCCTTGTCTAAGCACCTGGTCCTGGCGACGTCTAAAGGCGGGATGATGGGCTCAGTGGACCCGTGGCCTGACCCAGTATGGCAGCCTATTGCATTCTCATGTCATACCTTACCACTATAACTTAACACAAATTTACCTTGCAATGCTGCAAACGCTTGAAAAAAATAACAGCAGCACACAGGCAGAAAATTTTTGCTTGATCTTAGGACTTCCAACATCCTGGTTTTGCTGACTTTTGCTAATTCGGACTACATTTCAGCTGACTGTGTCCCATTAGCAGGGCTGACTGAAAGAAGCATACTTACGGTCAGGGTCCTGAGGGGGGCTCAGGAGACCTGAAGTGTTCTCCATGTTCTGGCACAGCTTCCTTGCCAAGTCACGTAACTTTCTGAGAGTCTTGTTTTCTATAGGGTCTGAGTTTCCCAAGACACAATGATATTTTCCTTCTATAGAAATGGTTATCAGCAAAAAAGGACACGTGACTCTGCAAAGACTAGGCCTGCCTTATAGCACCGTACCTGACCCTTGCTTGCCGGGAGATGATTAGCAGGGTGAGGTGTCTCAACAATGTGAGGTGGCAGGAACCTCTGGAAGGCATCTAGGCCAAACAGAGGCCCCACATCCTCACTGGGAAACATGTTGCGGTGATACGCTGTCTTTCTAACCAAAACATTTCTCTTCATGCACAGTCTCAGCCTCTCAAACTGCAATTTATGACTGCTGCCCCTTGCTTTACCTTCTGGTGCTACCGAGAAGAGTTTGGATTCGATGGTCTTTGCGACTCCCACTCCCCCGTTGGCTGGGGGCTGCTATTAGCTCTGCCCTCAGCCTCCTCTTCAGCCCCATGAACAAGCCCAGCTCCCTCAAATGCTCCCTGCAGGCCACCTGCCCTAGGCCCCTCACCATCCTCACCCCGTCCTGCTGGACCCTCTCCAGCTTCTCCAAGTCTTTTTAGCCTGGGGTTCAGGTGGCAAAACTAAGCATGTATTTCCCAGTGGTGCTTCACCAGTGCCAGGGAAGGGAGGGTAATAGTGACCATCAACCTGTCTCCCTCCACATAGCACAGCTGCTCTGCCTTGTTTGCAATGAACACATGCTGTTGGCTCATGCTGAACTTGGCATACACCATCACTCCCAGGTACTTTCCAGCAGGGCTGCTCCTCAGCCAGCGAATTCCTGGTCTGTACCAATGTCCCTGGCACAGAGATCAGCACTTGTCCTTGTTGGACACTGTCAGGTTTCTGTTGGCATGATCCTTAGGTTTCTCAAGGTTCTTCTGCATTGAAGCTCTGCCATTAACTGTGTCAACAATACCTCTGCTCTGCCCCAAGTGTCGCCTGCAGATTTGCTGAGAGGGCATGCTGTGTCATCTGCAGGTCTTTGACGAAGACATTAAATGATACTGGTCCTAGCATTGACCAGCAGGTTACTCTATTTTTACAATATTCCAATTAAGTTATTGATCACTACCCTTTGAGCTTGGCTGTTAATTTTCAATCCAGCTGAACGTTCATTCACCCGACTCATACATCTTCACCTACCAAACAAGAATGCTGGGGGAGATGGTGTCAAGGCGTCTCTAAAATCAAGGTGTATTTCATCGGTTGCTCTTGTGTTGTCCACATAGCCAATTATTTCATATAGAAGGCAGTCAGGTTGGTCAGACATGATTTGCCCTTTCTGAATCCATGCTGTTCCTGATTATCTTCTTGTCTTTCACGTGCATGGAAATAGACTTCAAGAGTATGTGCTCTCTAATACTTCTAGGGTCTGAGGTAAACCTGGCTGGTTTATGGTTCCTCCAGACCTCCTTGTTGGACCTGTCCTGTCTAGACCCATGGATTTGAGTAATTTCATGGTGATCCTGCCTCCCTTCTGACAAATGAAAACCAGGAATAAGTTGCTACATTCATCATGAATACATATGCATTCATACATGACTACCTATTCCGGCTTTGTTTTTTATTTTCTAGTTATTCAGGCCTTGATCTGAAAGTGTTTTGGGCTGGTTTATATACATATCTATACTACTTGGTTTTGGACTTAAAAAAGAGAGTCCATCTGAAATAAAATTCTTTAGTTCTTTTTTCCTCACTGATGCAAATCTCAAATTATTGCAAATATTCTGACTTAAGTAGAATTGCTTCAGATTTTTTTTTAAAAAAACCCAAACAAATAAACCACAAATAGGAAGAAAACCAGGCCCTTTGTCATCATCTGTGGAGGAAAGTAACCATGACGTAATGCACAGAAGGAATGAAATATGAGCCAAGTGGAAATTTTCCATCACCATTGGAACAAAAGTATTTGGTTTACAAAAGCTGACTACCCTATATGCCCTGCTCTCTCCTGCTGGCAATAAACCAGATCACCTTCTCTATACCCACAACACCCCACTGCACTTCCTTCCAGCTTCCCCAACACCTTTAGCGGTATGTTCCCACGCTCTTCATGGCGCATCATACCTCAGCCCTCCCACCTCTGTGTCCTACATCCATCTTTAGATTCCCAATACGTAAAATATAGGTCTTTATTCTGTTAGCTGGTGGAGAGGAGACAAATGTAACAGGTAGACCCATCCAATCTGTCGTTGTCTGTTGGATGTGCTACCCATCCTATCGTAAGGGAAATGACCTGGGAGACCTGAAGTTTCCATCTACCTAGCAGTCTTCACTAAGAATATTTTCCTGGATAACCTGCAGATCTTTCAATATCCTTCTGACCAAACGTGAGTTCATTTGACAAAGGTGCAGCTGACACGTGACGGTGTATCCATGTGTTACAGTGGCCAGAGTGTGTGTTGTTGGCATGGAAAGTGTGAGCTGGGGATCTTACCAGCTCTGGAGATACTGCGGCTTGGTGAGCCAGCACCCTCCCAGCATCAGCTGGGAGCACCCGTTCTGGTTACAGCAGTGCAGAGATGCTGTGCTGCTGCAGAGGGGACTGACATGGGAGTCAACCAGGCCAGTGCTATGCCAGGTGTAGGAAATTTAACTCATACAAAACCAGTGCCGGTGTCAGCAGGAGTTGAGGACAGGCGTTGTCCTGCAGGGTGCTGAGCTGGATGATATCCCCTAAACACTGGCAAATCCACACACAGCAGTACTGACCACTGAGGTCTGAATCAGATTTTCAACTTACTGCGATCTTCAAACAGAGGAATTCAAACAAAGGCCAAATTGGCTAGAAACGGGCCACAGACAGTTGAAACTTGTAATGTCTTCCCCAGATATATTACTCATTTGAAAGAGCAACAGAAGTGGATGAAGGATATGGCCTCACCTAGCAAGAACAGCCACGTCACTGCTTGCGGATCTGACCCAGCTGAGCGGGTCTCAGGGAGGGGGGAAGATCAGGGGCCTCTCAAAGCAGAGAGGTTCCCAGAAATGACACTGTCTGCCCATGCTGCCTGGCTTGTACTGACCTGTCTCACAAAGAGATCCCACCCACTCCTCTGGGCACACGCAGGCACCATCCCGGTAGGCACCACCATTGAGGCAGAAGCACGGAGGTACCATGGATTCTGCAGTGTCTGTGTAAATAAAGAATATATAGATACTCATTAATACATATGTAAAAACACATATCTATCTAATTTGATGAAGGAAAGAAACAAACATGATTTATTTGAAGCTTCAACTAAAAAATATATATGACCCACAGTCTCGCCCACATACTCAGTCACTGGTCCCTCCTTGCCCCTAAAACCAATGGCATGAATATGAGGTCAAAGCTTTCAAATATGAATTTGCATTCCCACAACGATGTAGGTGGAAGGAGTTTTGTGCAGCCGCTGGATGAGCAGGAGTGATGGTGTGGCCTCCAGGCTGCCAAAAGCTCAAGCTCTTGAACCCATGAAAAGCCCAAATTACTTCTGCAGTATTTCACAGGAGGAAGAAGACAAAACAGGGCTGCAGATTCCCAGTGCTGAGGGACCCGGAATGGTAACAAGGATGTGGATAGTCACACATCCAAGAATGAGACAGAGATATTCTGATTTAAGACATGTATTATAGGATAAAGCAGATAAAAACCCATGTCCCAATCTCAGCCATAGCATCTATCCACACTCCAGGACGGGTCCTGATTTTTATTCTGTGTTTTGGCAGAAATAGTGGATTTTGTTCAAAGTAGTCATTGCACAGGCTGCCACAGCTTCAGAGAGCAAAAAAGCACAGTATAAGCAATAGCAGAGGAACTGCAGATCTTAGAAATTTCTGAATATCCCATGGTATTTGCTGTGTTCAGCAAGCTCTGAAAATGTTGAGATTTTTTAAAAAAGAGACTGTCAAATCTTGAATGGTTAAGAGGTATTCTGCAGCAGAAATTGCAACAGGGAAGGGATTGATGGACCTCGGACTCTGAAAGATGAGCCCAAGACCTGTGGGATCTCTATAGACCAAGGCTTCCTCACGGTCAATCTCACCCAGTCACCAAGTGAAGGATGGAGTTGTAATCCTTTCCCATAAGGTTCATGGTGGAAATTGTGCACTTGCACACTGGGTGCAGTATATGCCTTGAAATAACGCAGAAAACTGGAGCTGAGGACTGCTATTTGATCTGACATTTTAGTGCCTGTGTTTTGAGACACTGACAGATAGAGTAAAGCCAGAAAATTCAAAAGTAAACAGTGCTGGCAAGAACACATGTGCTATTGTGTATTTCTGATGTTCTCACTGAACTAAAAAGATTGCCCAACTTCTTACTCTTTAATGTGATTCATATAACTGGAAGATTATTGCAAACTATAGGGGATGTGCCGCGTGGCAGGGGTAATTCTGTTCTTGGCACGCATCACCCGGCTTTTGCTCATGTTGTTGCTATTTAGCATTTGTGTTTCAGGCTGTCTCAGCTACATTACGGCCAGATGTCTATGATGATAGTGGAATAACATCTATGTATCACTAGGTAATGTCTCCGCTAGCCATCAGCTTTTCGAAACACATTGTCTCTCCGTTGGAAATCTTACAGAAAGTAAAGGAAAACTCCTCCAGCAATTGAGATCTGGGTGGCCCAAGCTAAGCAGCTGCAGAGCACGGCTGTATCTGGGGGAGCTGGGTGCCTGGTTGGGCAGATGTTGCCCCATTGCCCAGCAGCTGCTAGCCACATGCATGTGGCAGATGGGGCCGTGTGGCAGAGGGGTGACACCGGGGCTCAGCCACTTGCTTTGGGCTGGGAGCCTGGGAACCCACAAAATACTGGGGAACCTGCAGCACAGCTCCAAGCCTCTGTCTTGGCAAACGCATGCCTGGAACAGCCAGGCAGAAGGTGTCACAGCAAGGTAATCTGACACAGAGGATCCCAAAACCAGGGAGGGAGTGGTGCTGCCCTGCAAATGCATAGACGGTGGGCTGCAGGGCAGGGGAGCCGCTGGGGCAGGCTTGGGTGGGAGCAGTGGTGGCCGTGCTTCCACAGCCAGCCCAGGGGGTCAGGGTCTGGCTTTGGCACTGTTAGGCACAGGCTGCAGAAGGAATGTAAGGAAAGGGAAAGGTGAAAAGGAAGACAGAGCTGACATTCCTTTGAAAGCACTAAAACAGAAAAGCGTGAAGCTGTGGGGTAGCAAGTGCCATGTTTATCCCTGGAGGTGCAGACACAGCTGCCACGCAGCCCGTGCAGCAAAGAGCAGGCACCGGCAAACAGCACCGGCCTTACCTTTGCCTTCCTCTGAGAACATCGTGATGCTCGTGGGATCTGTTAATGCTAGTCCAAACTGTGGCTCTATTTAGAGCTTCCTGGTAACCTTTCTTAGCCTACTGTTCAAGGTCTCATGTACCATTATAAAGCTTTTGTTTTTTTTGATGGAGGGAAATCTGTGTCTTTCTCAAGTATGAATTCCTGAGCTGACTAATGCAGTCATGTCTATCCCACATGCCGTAAAACTCATCAGGCTCTAGTAATTGTGGCATTGGCTTAAAATCATGGGGTTCTTCTGGTTTTAAGATTAGAAAGCATCCTCTTTTTATTTGTCTTTGGCTTTTAAGTTTTGCAGACATTAATCATCTCAAGAATCACATTGATTTTGCTGTGTGTTTTTTTAAACTAAAACTAAAAGATTCTTGCATAATACTATGTCATCGTGAACTGTTGGGCTTTTTTTAATCAAACATGGTGGGAAATTGTTAATGCTAATACTTGCAGTTAAAGTTTGAATAAAGAAGAAACACTACCACTACACACAACAAGCAATGCATCAGATGGGCATGGAGGTATTCTCCATCCCTGAAGTAGCTGCAGTTTAAATCCAGTTCCTAGCAGCTTGTTTGCCTGCAGTTGTGTAAATCCTAGGCATTAGCAGAGGGATCCCCAAGTTGCACTGAGAGCTAACTCCCATCTCATCTAGGTTTAGCTCCATCAAGGCAAACAAAGCACTGAGCATATACTTATACTAGCAAAGGTAGGTTATTACTGACATATGTTAAATAATTTCTGTTTACTTATGTGCCATTTCTTGGGCCTGGGTATGTTCCCTCTCTACAAACATCTGATAAATCTCTTGAAGTAAGTATAACTTAACGTATCCTCTTATAAACTTTTCCCTAGGCTTATTGGTCTCCAATCATATCTGACTCCTTGCTGGACAAGCACCCAGGAGTATCTGAGTTTTTCTATGAATTTTTAATATAGGTCCATGCATAATTTTGTATCATGTCAATATAGTGAGTGAGTATTTTGCCGAGAGGAAACACTGACCAGTATTCTGCTCCAAGTTTGTGCACAGAAATGTCTTACAAGGGTGCATTGACGTAGGTTTTGGGTATAGAATATGCAAACCAATCCCTCCAATATTCTTTCAACAAATTTTTCTATAATGCAAGTTGTAATGAAAACATGAACAGGTGCTATACAGCATGTTTTGCTTATATGCATGCAAACATATAAACATATATAAATCTAAATATTTCCTCTTTAAAACATGATTTACTAGACTAGCTAAAGGTTTATTTTTGTCTTTTGAAAAATGAATCAGATTTCCACCAGAAGAGTGAGAAAATTTCAAGACATTTCTCAAAGCTCTATCAGAGGAATCATGTATGGTGCAAACATGTTACAAGGAAAATACTCCAGAGATTGTTTGTTGTCCTATTCTGTATTACAGCAGAATGCAAAGTTTGGGTACTTCTTTAAACATCAGTGTAAGAAGAAAAATGCTTCCACCTAAGAAGTATTCAGCATGGATGTAATAATATTTATCAGCAATCATGTTTAAATACTTAAGGCAAGAGAAAAGAACCCAAAGAGATCAAATAGAGCAGAATTATATTTCTTACCTGTTTTAAACCTGAGGACAAACTGCCAAATACACAGTGCCCAAAGGGTCATGGTCACTACACAACAGGTAATTCCAACCAATATTCTGTGCCAGTGGAGTGGAGGCATGTTGTAGTACAGACTGCGTGCTCTGCTATAAAATGGTGTTATACATTCATAACCTTGTGATGGATAAACCTTTGACTACTTGTCTGCTGCTAAAACTTTAACCTTTTCTGTTCCACTTGGGAAAAAAAAAAATTTGGTGGAGAAGTAGTACACCGTTATTTCTATCATTTTCCACCTGATAAAACATTTCACTTACCAAAGCAGTAAATGTCATGTTTTCTGCTTTCTGTAGGAAAATGTCCCAGCTCAGACACCTAGCTACATTTACACTGATAAGGACTAGAGCCTGTTATTTGAGTGCACGGCATGGCTCAGAGCCATGCCAGCGAATCTCTCTTCCTTCCAAGCAAGGCATCCCCATACATATATATGTGTGTATATATATTTGTATATATGTAGCCTCCTGGGAACTGACTCTGGTCTTCAAACTGGACCTGCACATGGTCTGGGGGGTGCTGGCTGGCGTGGGCCAAAACCATGCCAGGCAGGGTGCTAGGATCTGAGGGATTAGTCCTGTGGTGTGGCCTCGTTTCCTTTGCAAGCAGAGCTATAACCGCCGGGCTCTGCAGCGGGGACGCCAGGCAGGACCCAGGGAGGAGGCTGTGGAAGGGTGAGAAGAAGGTCTCTCCTCTGCAGCAACGTTCCTCTTGTGCTAAGAGGAGGTGGAAATGCTGACTGTATTAGGACTGGCCTAGATCAGGCACTTGGCATGCACTTTCAGGAGAGTAAATGGCATTTCCATACTACGTGATTTGGACAGGCAATGCAGAGCCTTGTTGCATCCCCTCTGTGCACCTCCACCGTTAAATATGGTCACTCAGCAGGCACTGGCACAATTGGGAATAAAATCAGTGTCTTCAGATTCCCAGGACATCTGATTCATCCAGAAAGGAGTGGGGAAGAAAAAAATAAAAATAAAATAGGTAAAAGGCACGAGTAAAATGTGAAGCGTAAAGAAAAGTTACACCACCAGAACTGCCAAAATCAGCATCTGCTTCTGCATTTGAGGGTGTCTCCCATTGGCAAATTAAAAGCTAAGAGATGAATATCAGAGTCAAAGTGAAGAGTCAAATAGAGCTATTTAAAGAACTAACTGGAATAAGCACTGTCTTTTTTATCATCAGTGATCAGTGGATGGATCCCCTGTGTGTGAGTAGGAACAGTACCTTGCTTTTACATGATGTTCATCATTCGTGAGGAAAGGAAGTTTGTTTGGCTTTTTTAATTACTGAAGCACTTCCATCTCAATTTTAGAAACAGAGCTCAAAAAACTGCTGTGATATGCCAAGGATGTACAGAAATCCAGTCAAAAAAAGGGCTCAGGTCTCTTGGGATGTGGCCAAATGGTCTAGCCACTGGATACTACTGATACTGCTAGATACTACTGTTTCTTTAACACCTTACAGACTATTAAGATGTTTTTTCCACTTAAAAAGAAAAATGATAAGGTAAGGTAAGCATTTAATCTCCTTGGTGGCAATCTGCAAAATATTCATAAAAATACTCATTCTCATTCAAAAAATCAGTACAGAAAATACCAAACATCTGTGTTTCAGTGATCAAGAATTGAGAAAAGCACCTAAGGACAGAGGAAAGATTGAGGAAATGCTGAAATAATTAAGATTACATTTACAAATGGGTGCTGCAAAATTGTTAATATGCTTCTTCAGACAGCCAAATGTCTTAACAGGTTGCTCACAGAGGTTTTGGTTAAAGACAGGCTGTGCTGTCACACCAGTGACTGTTACTGGGACAAACCTCCAGGCAGGACAAGGCTGTTTGCTGTCCCTCTGGGCACAGCTCGCGCTGGCTGGGGATCTGCCTGCCCATCTGCGGTAGCCATTGGGTTACGAGTGTGTCTCTTGTCCTAGATCTTTCCTCTCTCCATGTTATTCTCATTCTCACGGAAAACAGAGAAGGAAAATGATCCTCAGTGCTGGGATCGGTACAGGGATGTGAGGAGGGCATGGGGGCTGTGGAGTGCAGCTGATAGATGGGAGCGAGTCTGAGGGTGGGAGGAAACAGCTGTCTACCTCGCACAGAGGGGGTGTTTGAGCCTTGTAACTCAATAAAATGTCAAACTGCAAATCCCCCCAAGGGGGTTGCACAGGCACTGGCAGGCTTTCTTCATCAGAGGGGCAGAAATGGGGCTCTGTGGGGCAGGGCAGCAGAGGTGCCCCCTTTGCCTGGCAAGAGCAGCCATAGGTGGAGGCTGGGTGACACAGCTCCGGGGCTGGTCCCACTGTGCATCCCACTGCCCGGCCATCCCGTGGGCTAGGAAGCATTTGCAGAGTTGCCCAGGCAAGCCCTGGTAGCCTGAGAGCTCTGTGGCCCAGCTATCTCACTGCGGTCCAACTGTGAACAACCGCAGTGCTCAGCTGGAGAGAAACATCTCCTCCTTGTCCTACTCACAAAGCATGCTTAGAACACCTTCCACGTGTTAATTACTTTACAGTCTCTTGCCATAAGCAGCTAAATGCTTGCTTTTCTGGGGTTAGAAGGGCCAAGAGTTTAAAACTGTGTCTAAAAGACACAAAGGAAGATGCCCGTCCCTGCACACAACTTGTATAGAGCAAAGCAGAGCCAAGCGTGATTCGGACACACTGGATCTTGCAGATGGCAAAACTGAGTCACAGAATAGTTCAGCAACATTAAGTTAAGCTACATCCAATATAGCACCAAGTCTGAGGTTTACAGTATATTAAAAGCATACCCAGCTTCTGAATCACAGGTCTGGGTCCATTGCTAGTAGAAATGCTGCTATATGACAGCAGGAACTTTGCATACTTGCAGAGCTTTTTAAATGACAAAGAAGGAAAGAAAAAAAATTAATACTCATGGTTACTGACATTGCTCATTCTGTTCAATGGAAATAACATCTCTGCTTCATTCCTTTACATAGCTAACCTTATCATGGATGACTTTGAGCAGCATGTTGTGTTTAGATATATATAAAATACTGTGAGTCCAAAACCTTGGGTTGCAAGCCCAGGTTTGAAATGGAAGACAGTTTGTCAACTTGAAAGTAAGATTGTGAGCAAAAAAGATTGGGAACTTCTAACTTTGCATGAATATTTTATATAAACGTTAAAGAAAAAAAAAAAAAAGGCATAAGGAACCAGATGGCAAAACCAAAACAAATCAATAAATACATCCTAAAGGATAGTACACTTTTATTTATGAAAATATTAAACCATGTTTATATGATAGAATAACCAAACTGAAAGAAAACCTTATTACTCACAAATTTGTATATGCGATGCAGCTGCAGGGAGACAAAACTGTTCCTGAGTGACTAGATATGCTGCTTCTGCCTTCCTCCATTCTTTTGAGCCTTAATTAGAGACAGATGTTTCTTATTTCTTTTTTGTTTTCAAGCCTGAATAAAGTGCGATGCCAGCAGTAAACACCATCTTTGACTTTTTTTTTATGTGTCAACTGCATCTGGCTGAGTTGGAGTCACAAACCAGTAAAATTCCAGCAAAGCACTGCAAGCTTTCACTCCTGCTGTCATTCCCATCGGGAGCAGGAAATCGGCATTACTGCTTCTGGGGCTGCCACACAGGAGCCATAAAAATCCCAGAATGTGTCTGAGAGCCTGGAGGCAGACTGGAAAGCCGTATTCCATGAATATTGCATTCCATGAATATTGAATTGCTACTCAGTAGCTTCCCCTTCCATAGTCTTAGAGTGCTGGGAGTGTTTTCTAGTTGTTAATTGCTACTCAGTTGTGTACATCTGCAGTTTATTTTCCATTTCTTCTTTCTCCTCCTCAGGCTGGTAACCACAGTATGTAGACATAACCATTTCTGCTCCAATTTCATGCCCTTACTGTGACATCGACCTCTTAGGTACCATCCCCTGCAGAATACTTGTGTCATTAAATGGCAGCAGCCTATATATGCGACAGCCTTCTTTCTGAATCAAATTGCAAAGTGTGCTGTAGGATTTATGGTTTTCAACTACTTTTTAAATGTATTTTCATTCTAAGAAGTGTTTCAAATATAGAAATCCATGAACTGCAACAATTACACAGCAAGGTGTTAGAAATTACTGTTCTGAAGAAGTCATCTGAGGACAAGTTATGCCTTATTTGACAAATATTAGGCTTTTTACTCCCACATATTTTGAGCAAGCACATATTTTACCTAGAATAGATTTTAAAGGCAAGTGCCCAGCAGTTTTCCAGTTGTCGTTCTCCCTTTTAACAGATGTGCTGTTGTTGCGCAGTCCTTGGGAGTCAGGCTTGCTTCAACTACTGCACAAGCTAAAGGGCTTTTGGGATAAAAAACTATTCTGTTTTCTTCCACTGACTTCTGTACCAGTAACTCCTACCCTAGCTGCTGTAGTTCAGAGGAACTGAACCATGTGGGAAGTACCAGATACACCAAAGTTTTCTAGTGCCTCAGTTTTAAGGATGAATGAACTTGTAGGATTGAAATTCCTTGCTGCCAAATTTACTCTTAGTTCAAGCTGGGTTTAGATACAAGGAAAAAAAAGGTATTTATTTACAGAATATAGAACAAATATCATAGTTACTAAACTTTATGGAGACATAGATAACATAAATGAAAGCCACATTTAACCCATTTATCCTCATGACAAAACTTCAATGGGTTCCTTCCCTCGTGTCAGACACAGTCCTCACCTTACCCATGTGTGTGCCTCTATCGGTGATGCCAAAGGAGTAGACCTCTACAGCACAACCGTTCCACGTTACAGGCATTCTGGGACTCTAGTCTTCTCCCAGGGATGCAGATGCCCATTAGTGCTTGGAGCACATGAGGCACAATGCTGGAGAGCACCTTCAAACTTCATTTCCCATGAAGAGACTCCAGCTCCCATGCTCTGCCTCCTCTCCATGATGCAAACCTTGGTGATTAAGTTAGGACAAGTGGGTGAGGTCCAAAGAGTTCTCTTGATCCAGACTAAAATGTTAGTGTAGGTGCACCTGGTAGCGTGATGGGGGACCCAGGAACTATGGGAGCAGCCTTGATTTA